CACTTGAAATCGATGTTTCGTTGCCTAAGCTACAGTATTGCCTCGCTTATTGCACGAATCTGCAGTCCGGATAGTTGTCGCTGTTCACGTTTCGTAGCTCGCGTGCATCGGAACCTCGATCGTTGCAGGAAATCGGGTCTGAATTCTGCAACAATCAAGATAAACAACTTGTTGCACAGCAATCCTTTCTAATTAGAAGGTTTAGTAGAAATGCGACAGTATGCAACGAACTCTGAGGCAACAATCGAGGCTCTATCGCAATTAAATTCCCATTAGAGCGGTTCGTTCGTGTTCAACCGATCCTGAGAAGGAAGTCTCGTCCAAACGATATCGAATAAAAAATCAAATGGATCGCTGTGCGTTGAATGTTGTTATTCGAGCAAAGTTCGTCGGGGACTCGACAGGGCGATCAATCGAACGAAAGTCGAAGGATTAGAGCACCGGCGGCGGAGAATTATATCCGCTTGCGGTGCAGAACAATCGACCATTGTTGCGCAAGCGTTTGTAAATACAATCGAACTCTCATTAGAAGCTCCGAGCGAATAATCGATGCTATTAACGGAGGGCTGCGTTTTTTAACGGGAGGACGCGCGAAACGGTTGCGATCGGTTCGTTTTCGTCGTACACCTGCGAAGATTCGCCACGGCATCTGGTCCGAGGAATTGTGCAACGCGGGGCTTCGATATTGTGGTCGTTCCGCCAACTTGTCGCTATTTATCGTTCGGGAAAGTTTTGCACGAACGCTTTCTTTTCGGGCAATATTGGCCGGTTCGAGGACGCCAGATTGTTTACGACTCCCGGTTTCGCCACGTGGTAGACATTTTACTCGGGCGTATGGGGCAGACGTGGGCAAACAAAGGTGCACGAAAGTGCAACGGACTCGTTGTATATTCATGGCGACAAATGGAACGACGGACCAAAGATGGATGCTTGGAGAGGTCCCATTAGAATCGCGAGAGGAACGAATGCACGTCGTACGGTGTGGAACATGACCATCTTCGCGCAGAACGGGGACTTTTTGTCGGGCAAAAACGATCGGTGGACGATCCATCGGGATACGTACGTCGACGCAGACCCGGGAACCTAATTTCTCGAGTCGGGTTGCCCGGGTTGATACGAGCGTTTCATTGAATTTCGATCGAGAGCCGGCAGGGACGGGGATCCGACGACGAAACAAGGAGCAAGGATGTATCGAGGAGGAGGAAGAGTCCCGTAAGAAGGAACGAGATGGAGAAAATCGAAGGGTAAGGTGGTCCAACCAGATCCTTCTGCCAAAACAGGTGCACCCAGAGTCTGCCATCCGCCGGGGCGTGTGCCGGCTAACTACGCACCTTAATAACATACGTTCGATCCTTTACGGGCTACGCACACGCACGCATTTCCATAAACACAGACCCCGCGACCGGCACGTACACGATCGATAGCTGCTTTTATGCCAGGTTGATCGAACGTCCGTCGAACTCCGAAGAATCATTCGGCTGCCGTAATATCGAATTAACTCCTTGCTTTATGGCGTGTCGTAGGTATCCGCCACGCGTTAAATTGTTTCATTTTACCTTTCGATGGTCGAGCGTTCGTTCGAAAATCAGGTTTACGATTCGTAATTAAATTACATGCAATCTATCCAGGTTGCGAGCATCGTGTCATACGTTAGTTCGATTTCAAAAGGGTCGCAGAGGAGAGGGGGAAGCAGCGTACCTTCGAGGGGAAACTGACTCTAGTGACTTTCCCTTGAAGCAGCCACGAATTATGGACGCCAGGTGTGCGGACAGGGCGACACGTTTTTGTAACAGTCCAATCGCGGACGGATCCTCGATCAAAGTCTGTTTTAAAATGGGCGAAGTTCGGTCGAGAAGGGACTTCCGGGTAGAATCGTCGAGCCACGGTCTCTTCGATAATTTTCTCTCGATCACGACGAACCGCGATTGCGAAATTATTATTCCCAACGTTTCAACGTCCACGGGATGATTATTAGAAACAACGAGAGTGAAAGGAAAGAGGAAGAGAATAAGAATAAAAATAAGAGAGGGGCGACAGGGCCCGACGGAGGACGCGTAGAAGAAAAGGAACACTGGCGGGAAAGAAACGTGGATAGAAACGACGAAGGATCGCGGAACGTTGGGTCCGGTGGGGCTGTCGAGAGGGGGGATCGTCTAACAAAGCCATCGGTACGCAGGTGGAGCGAAGCAACCGTCTGCTTAGCAAGCTGCGTTGTTGAAGCCCCGGCGCGTGTGCGACTACCAGCAGGCAGAAGCATAGCAGCAGCAGCGGCAGCAACTCCGGCCAGCAATGGGCCCCGACCGGGCCCTGCCGGGGCCCCGAAACCCTCAGTCAACCGATGCGCGTCACTGCGAGTGTACGCCGCCAACTGTTCCTGCCACTTTGCCTCGACGGCGATCTTTCGATTTCCTTCGTAGTTTTGCTGTACCGTGCGCGCGATTGTTGTTAACTATTAAGACTCGACCAGCGAAATAGATCCGTGACGCGTCCCCTCCCCCCGTCGTTCCAAAACATGTGATCGCGAATCGCGACCGCGGAGAAATCTTGATCGTGGTTCGCCCGCGATCGTTTATCAAACGACGTAGAGATCCTCGTAGGCGTGGGACGTGCAACGACCTTGGAACACTGCACCAGTATCGGAGACTAGGCGATTTGCATGCGCGTCGATCGATGGGACGCGGTCGGGTGCGAATTTACGCGGCGCTGCCGGCGCCTCGTCCGATCCAGCGGCCAGTTGGTCGAAAACCGAGGAAAGGGGAGATTGATCGTGGCGTGGAGAAGCGGCCTCGAAGCACGTGCACGCGCGAGTAACATGAACGACCAGCCGAGCCTGAAACGCGGACCGTAAGTCATGTTCAGCAGGTTCGAGCTGCTTCAGGGCGCTGTCAGCTATCTTCTGTTATCAGGTGCGCTACGCCAATTGTTTGCTTCCTTCGGGCGATTCACCGTGCGCGTTTTACCCTCGAGACAATAATTCAGAGTCAGTTTCGATCGGTTGTAAAATGGTGTCGAAGCGCGGGAAAGGAGAAGGAAACTTTGGACTCGTTGCACGCGACTCGCTCGCGATTTTTTCGATGCTAATCGTTCCTCGATATCGACCGCGATTGCGCGTGTCGTTGATTGATAGTCGCTTGTCCGTTCGAGTGGTTCTCAGGGGGCTCGGACGCACCGAACAGTGATAATTAGCCGCTGGAACATTGCCAGGGAATTTCGTAGCTTTTGTTAAAACGGGAGTTATGACGATCGGTCCGCGCCATGGGGACACTCGGCGAACGATCCTCCGCTATAAATCATCCCTCTAATTGGACATCGCGACGCGTCTCGCTCGGTAATCGTATATTAATCGAGCTACATATGGAATTCATTTACGCCGACCAGCGCTTATCGGGAATGGAAGAATATTGCGACGTCCCGATAACAACTTGTTCTCGAAAACAATCGGTTCCGAAAACCGTGCAATTATTAAAGTTCCTCGATTCGATCAAGCTATAAAAAAAAATAAAATTTAAGAGCAACGATTACTTCGTAAATTGCGAGTCGAGCGACAGCGTGAAAAATTTTATTTCGCAGGAACGGAAGCGCAGTTGCGATATCGAACTCTGGTCGAACGCCTGTTGTTAAGTCGCAACCCTCTCGAGGCCGAACTGCCCCCTTTTGCCTTGTTCCAGGTTCTTTCTCCGTCTGGTTTGACCCAGTCTCAGCAGTCTGTCCTCGTCGCTGGCAGCCCCTTTCCCATGGCGTGCGTGCGTGCATGCACGTTGCTTTCCATTGTTTACGCAATGCCTCCTCGACCGGCTTCGTGCCTCCCTCTTTCTCGCTCCGCGTCGCCACCTTTCTTCCCATCCTCGTTTCGTCGTTGGGTCATTGCGTTTCTAAGGGGGTAGCCTCGTGTGTGCGACTCGAGGAAAGAAAGGTACCGAAAGACCGCGTTGATCCTCGTCCGGGGATCCTCGCTTTTTCCTCGCCCCGCGTTGCCTTTTCAATTCGACAATGATTTCTGGTACCTCTGCGCGGCAACGGGGATGAAAGGGAGCACTCTGGGAGCTTTTCAAGACGCGAGAATCTCGTCGAGGGCAAACTTGTCAGCGGAGACGCATATATACGTTGATACGTATTTATTTGTCAAAGCGTCAGGGATCGTCACGAGGTTCGTCCAGAGATCATTCTGGCTTCGAGAGCCTCCGATTCTCTGTTTCTCTTATTTCAGTCTTGATCCTTTAAAAAATAAATATTACGAAAAGGTGATAAGGGCCTGATTTAGACACCTATGTTTATGCGTATATATAACTTTGCGAACGGTCAACGAGACACGAAGAAAAATATTGTGGAGCAGAGCCAAATATATCTGCGAGGCATTTTACGAGTCCACGCGTGAACAATATGGCGACCACAGCTGTGTAAATACCGAGGGAGGGCTGGTCGAAGCAATTTATCATTTCAACGACTTAATTAGTTTTCAAGTATATTTCGAGCACGATTGAGCCTTCACGCAACGAAGCCGCGTATCAAAATTCATTCCTCGTAATTAGAAAGAAGCGATTAAATAAAATACCCGTAAATATTTGGCGAGATAAAAGAGCGTATCGTGACTGGCGAAGATCGAGAAACCGCTTGTCATCGAATCAAATCTCGTAGAATTTCGTTGTCGACCCGATCGACGTTTACGCGAAACAAACCGGCTTATCGCGAGAACGCGACAATAGTAACGATGATCGATTTCGATAGCCCGTTCCAACGCGAAGTTATCGATCGATCAGATTTGTTTAAAATACGTCTATGGGCCGTTATCGAAGATCCAAGGAATTTTATCGCGTCCGCGACACCCGGCGAGCATACCGCGAGCGAATCTCCGCCGTAACGATGTCGTTACGTTGGCCAAACGATTGGTACTCGAGGTCGAGCAGCGAGCTCCTCCGCGAGCGTTGTCCTTGGACGCGGATAACCAGACGCTAATTAACTTTGCAGATGCTAATTACCATCCCTTTTCTTGTCTGTTACAGAGCGCGAGAGGCACACCGCCAACAGGCTATCCGCGTAAGTATCCTATAAATTGGACCATCCTCGAATAGAACTAATTTCGCGCGCGAACCATACGCGGCGGCAGCGGTACCATCGATTTCGCCGTTTTACCCCCTCCCTGCTCTCTCGATTTATGGATCGTCGTAAATCAATTGCCCGTGAAAAAGAGCGGAAACGGGCTCGATCGTCGAACGATGGAGAAACTCGATGACTTTTTACGAATTCTCGTTCTTCTAGCTCGACGCCGCGCGCTCGAATATCGATTGCACGCGATATTGGACGCGTGCTCCAGAATCCGGTTTAACGAGAATTAATCCGTCAAAGACGAAGTCAATTATACGCTCGCGTGGACCTTTCAACGGTGAACGCGCGTCAATTAAATTCTTCCTCTCGTTCGAGTTTCCTCTTCCGCTACGATATCTCTGTTCTACGGGCTAGCGCGAGACGCCCCCCTCTTTTGTTTAGTTCCCGCGGAAAGATCACCCTGCAACGGAACCGCGGTCCGCGCGGAAAAACGATTCCAGCCACGGTTTTCTTCCGGGAATTCTGCCGCGAGAATTTTCACGGAAACGATTTAAGAAATGTATTTCGTAGTCTTGGGGGAAATTAAATTAGAAGGCACGCCGTGATCGACGTTATTTTATATTGAAATATTCGGGAAAGTTTGAAGAATTCCCGAATGGAAAACGGTTCGGAGAAAACTCGAGTGCGAGGATGCACGATCGTGTCGACGTATGAAGACGTTCGAGAGTTTCCCACGCGCCGACAGGAAGCTGCGTCACTGTCTTTTCAGCCTGTGTATAAACTTCCTCCCTGCCGCCATCAGAACGTCTCGCGTGTCTTTTATCATTTAGACGTTGCACTTCAATGTGAAATTCCAGGGCGTGAACTTTCGACCAACGGTACCTGACGATCTCTCAAAGTCCGATTTCAGGCCTCGGAGAGTGTAATAGAAAAATGCTAGATCATTTCCATTGCCATTGTCGTTTGCCACTATCTAGAACAGAAACTGATTCGACGAGGTAAACAACGGACGTTGGTCATCTGTTTACGAGATACTGTGTGGTAAATAATCACGATAAGTACAAAGTAAAAGATTGTAGGTCAAGTCAACTTTTATCACGAAGATTAGGATTATCGAGTAATAAAACTAATAAAAGACGAATAGAGAGGACGCGCACCGCGCGCAATTCTTCCGTTAAAAGGGTGGAAGCGTCGCGAGAGATGATAAAAGCAGTGATCGAGGGTGTATCTTTGTATAGATCGGGCAGGACAATTTCCTGAAATCGGCGCGCGTCGTCCACCCTTCCGCGATCGAGCGAAGCAAGAAAATTAACGAGCCTCGAAACGGTAGGCAGAACACGTTTCCCACTTTCAACCCTCTCCGGGGCGGCGTTGCTCGAGGGTTTTCGGCCCCGACCACCGTAACTGCCCCTAATAACCCTGCCCGGAGTTCCTCGATGGAAAACTGGGTCGTATCGCTTATCGACGTCACTTTTTCGCCGCAATCGAGACTCGCTGTTGCGTAAACAACCGCCGCGTCCTGTTCGACGCAATTTCGTCCCCTCATTTTCGGTTCCTTCGCGTTCTCCTGCAGAAAATCAACCGCTTCAGCGTTACTTCCAGGCCGTGTGAATATTTTTTTATTTTGTTTTACTCGAAAGAAACGATCTCGAAGATCGTTCGATCGATAGATTTCGATCGGGAGAAGTTTCGACGAGGAACAGATGATATTTGTTGAGAGACCCGTGGCCGGTTATCAGGCGAGCTGCTCGCGACCTTGTCCAATTCTGATAACGTCCGAGTCGAGCTGCGCGCGACGATAAGGGATTTCGCTCCTCGCTCGGGTCGCGATAAAACGAGCATTTTTCCCCTCCACGACTTTGTCTTTCTTCGGCTCGTCCCTCTTAATTTTCCAGCGCGAACGGTTATCGGGTCGGCGTGCTAGCACAGCCGTGTCTTATCGCCCAGCTACTTCCATTCCTTATTTCGATAAACATATTTCGCTCGTTTGCGTCCGAGAACCGATAATCCTGGTCTAACGATTACTCGGCCGCTTCGGAGAACGCGATGGACGTCGCTATACTTGGACCATTCGTCGTTGCATTAATCGTCGATGCCCTCAGAAGCGAGAAGCGACTTTCAAACCGGTATCTCTTTCGATACTCTACTATAGGGGTTTTATTTACAAAACTAAGGTTCCAGCGTGGGTCATCGAATGGTCGACGCTTTAAAACCATAGCTAGGTATCTGAAATTAGCGTCCACCAGGAAGGTGTAAATCGACGACGTGAAATCGCATTAACTGAAAAGATAATTGGGAGTTCGGTGTTCCCCGGTAAGCCTAATGGGATTCGTCGAAATTCCGATGAAAACCATCGATGGAAACGACGTCGCGTAATTTCTTAAATTGAATCTTGCCGGTGGGGGGGCGGCGGTAGTCGCGGGAAGGGGCTCGTTACGGCGGGAATAAGCTCCTTCTCGTAAAATTAATCGAAATTATAGAATTAACCCGCGACCTTCGCCGGTCGGGGGATCTCGATTGGAGTATTCGTGTCGCGAATACTAACCCAGTCCCGAGATGGTTATCGGGCGAACTAATAAACCCCGTTGGAACTCGTTCGCGGGGGAAAGTTCACAAGTTGGTAATTTCGTCTTGTAACCTTCGGTGAAACGCGCGTCGCGCGCGAACGCGGGAAACGTTGCACTTGGAAAGAGATGATCGAAAAACAAGCTGCTTCAGCGAGGCTTCGAGCCGGTCAAAGATTCGAACCAAACCGAATAATTAACCAAGTTTCCGGGATAAAGGAAACTCTGTGTATTTAACGTCTGCTCCCGGAACTTTTAAACTGTTGCGCGCCTTAGCCAGCTAGAAAGTCTCTTCTCGATCTTACGGGGCGAACTTTCCCCAATCTTTTTCGGTCCCGGAACACTTTTAATCCCGCGCGGAATTACGTTCTTTTTTCTTTCAGAAAGAAGATGTGATATAGAAGCTAACATAAGGTTTGACCGTGATAAAAATTCTCCCTTCTCGGAACGATTTAACACGGGACAGTTGGGATAGGGGCTTTTTCCTCGTGTCTGTCAAGATGTACCGCGGATTTTCCACAGTGTTAACCGAGTCGTGGGTGGATTAAGTCGGATCAGAGATCGCTGGTCGAGGAGCCACCCCTGGTCCCTACGTTTACCCGTTCCTAAGTGGTTCCCAAGCTTGGTGCAACCCTTTCGATACGGCGAACAAGTTGCTTCTTTCAAATTTAACGAACAGTTGAGGGATTGAAAAATATCTTCCGGTCGGTATATGCGTGGCCAGAAATTTTTGTTGCTCCGTTCGCGCGGGAGGAAGGTTTCGTGGACGGTGTTAGTGGCACAATGGCGGCCGGGGGATCCCCGTTGGTCGTTTTATTGGCGTCGGATCGCGCGAACCTTTCCCGCGCGAGTCCGTCCGAGCAATTTCACTCGGACAAGCGTGTCGTTATTCAATTTATCTCGAACGGTCGTTCTCACGGAATCGAGCAGGTTCGTCCAACGATACGCCGTCGATTAGGCGACTCGCGTGAAACGTGAAACACGAGCGGACGGAGGCGGTCGGGTTTCGCGTACCCGGGATTCTCGAGTCCCCTCGTTAACCCTCCTTCGTTGTCGCGGCCACCTAGAACGCTCGGGGTAATTTTTTCCCGTCGCTGGACGTGGAAACGTTCGAATTAATTCCGCGCGAAATTGGCGTTTCGAGACCGCGACGTAGTTTCGACGATCGAGCGAAATATCCCCGACGCCTCGAAACTTTGGACAGGCGTCGTTCGCGGGACGAGTTTGACGTCTTCTTTGGCCATAGTGCCCCTCCACTTTCTCGTAATATATGTATACGACGCTCAAATTTGCATACACAACTGGTCCGTTTCGCGTTCTGAGATAATATTCGATCGCGTTCCTCGGTCAGAGGTCGAAAATCGGGACGATTTTATTTTAATCGAAGGGGTCGGTGAATGGAATATCGATAACGAGGGACGTGGAGTCCGACCCTCCACTTACCCGAATGGTCCACTCTCCAGGCTATTTCCCCAATTATTAAAAATCATCCATAATGTAACAGTGTTTTATAATGGAGGGAAATGTTATATTTTGCACAGCTTCGATTCAAATTGGCAGTATCAACTTTCCAGTCTGCATAACAAATACGTGTAATTGCAAAGTAATTGTGCTCGAGGGGAAGGTTGCGTTCCAAGATTGTTACGAATAATTAAAACTCGGAACGAAACTATGCGCCACTCGCTTAATTACTTAATTAGAACTTTCAAGCAACAAAGCGTACGTTGCGCATTATTTCAACGCTAAGAAGAACGGTACAGGTAACGAGACAGATGACAAGACGCGTGTCTCAAGAATTTTGCTCAATCCTCTCGCGAACGGTGCATCGTCCCATCGAATTTTATTTTCCAACACTTTTCGGGTAAATCCGTTTTGGTTAATCGTTGCACGAAAAACGAACAAGCTCCGTTCTCACGGGTTTAATCCTCTTACGCGTCGCGGAGTATAGAGTTGCCGCTCGATGAAAAGCGGAACAAAACGTTTTATGGGCGAGAAATATTGGGGAGGGTCGGAGGGGAGGGTGGCGAGACGCGTTAATCGTCTCGTGACTCGCGTTTTATCTTCTCGAATCCGCGGAGCATCGGCGGTCCTCGCGCGGCAAAATTACGTTCTCGGGGTCTCTCGAATAAAGCCCGGAATTATTGCCGACGCTGGTCGCCGCGGCGCCTTCCACGGTCGTTGACGGATTCGCGTATTCACGGTGGGTCCTCGGAGGCGAACGCGCGCGGGGGTGTTTGCACGCGGATACCGCGTAACCGAGAGGGAGTCGAAACGCGCGCGTACGCGACACGAGGAAGGGTTGCCCAACCAGGGGGGCGGTGGAGGGCGCGGGGGTGGATCTCGTGCAGCTCGAGGTGACTCGGTTGCAGATGGCGTGTACAACCAGGAGCGTCGAGACGAGCGCGCGAGGGGTTAAAGGGGCGGGTG